TACATCAGTGTTTTTTCATCTAATATCTCAACAAGCCAATTTTCTACAAAAACTACAGCATTCAGTGGTTTTTAATCATGTTCTACCACTTAAATTTGGTAGAGAACACATTACTCTCCGATTATCAGAAATATCATCTTTGATAGGAAAGTTCATTTGATGTTTTGTATCATTGAAAAGATGATTTTCTTTAAACTTTAAATGAAATGAAGGACTATGGCCCTCTCATATAAGCCCATAGAGTCATTTGCACCAACCATAACTTGAAAATTTGAATGATGAAAACAGGATTCGTCAAAATCGAGGTACCTGTATTGGATGCATGAGTCAAAATGTAATGCTTTTTTACCCAAGTCCAAGCTACTAAACTGAATCAAGCGGGTCAGTTGCACTAAATGCAGAGTCTGCTTTGGCCATTGAAAGATCAAGAACGGGGAAGAATAATACAATCCGTCAAAACATCAAATTTCTATTTTCAATATGAAAGAGGTATGCTGCCGTGCTACGGAAAAACGCAGTATAAACCTTCAAGCATTGCCAAATTTCTTTAGATAAAACACGAATTTCCTGGAGCATTTATGAATATTTTTCTTTTGGTTTTTCAGATAATTTTGTACACAATTTCACCTAAAGTTCCAAAAAATTTCAAGGAAAAGTATTCTTAACTTTCCTTAAAAATAAAGTTTTATTGAAGGAAATTTGGCAACACTCGAATGTTCATACGGCGTTCTTCCTTGGCACGGCAGTATTGGAGAGCACTGTGCACATATATCAAGAACCAATATAAAATATTCTTGAGGATGGGGCTGTCTCACATTTTTCTTAAAATTCATTTTTGTAAAGTACATAAAAAATGAGAAACCCGTATTTTACCTTTTGGACACTTGATCAAATTTTAGTTGGGGAAACAACTTCCTAAGTTGCCGAAAGTTCAACTCCATTTCGAACAGAAAAATATCACTCCTACAGATTTTGTGATATCACAAGGATCATTGAACGCCATGATTTTTTCAACTGCGATTGTTCAGTCGCACAGCGGCCATGATACATTAGATTCAAGGTGGTAGAAGACAATGGGACACCTTTTATGAAATCATGAGAAGAAAGCCAATGAGAAACGTTCTTCTCATTACCACAACTGTAAGCTCCTTTATGTCAGTTTGAGCTTTTTTAAACTTGGAAATGTATTCCTCGCTAAAATTTTCACAAATGACACTTTTTTACTAAGCGATTCCAGGATCATGCGACAGGTTCATTCCGTTCTGAAAGGAAAAAGAGTTCTAAAAGTTCTTAGATAAAAAAACTTACTTTAAGCAAATCTAAGTGTTTTTCGATAGACGCCTTATCTTCTACTAATTGCTCCAGGGTTTTTTCCGTCTGTAAAGTGCCAGTGATGATATCTAGCTCGTTCGTGATCCAAGCTTGTAACTTTTCGAATTTATTAGAGGCAGAAGTTTGTTTCCTCCTTTCTTGCACTGATTTTTGCAGAGCTAATGTTTCCTGGAATTAAAAAAAAACATAACTGAGACCATTCATATATCGATGGCGAAAACGTCGAAAATACGTATCTTAGATTTGCAATGTTAATCATAATTAAAAAGCAAAGAACACTTTGTTCGCCAATTTACTGTAAATTTTCTTCATTTACTCTAAAAAAATCAAACAGAATTGCAAGGAGGCAAAATAAAACAGGATTGGAAACTTTTTAACTGTGCATTGGAAATATGTACACATTTTGTGAATTGAACATGAGTCTTCAGATCCATAAAAATAGATGCTTGGCAGGGCTTAGATCACAATGGATATAGTGCCTTTTGCTTTAAATACGTTCAATTCTGGTTCAACACACGAAGCACCTACATGCATGGGAAAATCTAACGTGGCATATATTCTTTCAAATATGATCCAGAAATGGTGGTCTCTAATTGCAAAATAAGGTCCAACTTGATAATCAGTCTCTTCAAAAATTTGCCTTCGGGCACTGAGGTCTCTAATCCCACACCATTCCCATATCATGAACATTATAGAAATCTACAAACCTTGAGCCTCTTGTTCATTGCGGTGGCTTGTTCGCACTTCCGTTTAAGAACGATCTGCTGTTTGTTGTGCTTGTTCTCCAACCGGATTAGTTCATTCTGGCGGCGGCGGTCTTGCGTGCGCAATCGACACAACTCTCGCTCACGTTCGATTTTCCACTGCCGGAAACGCTCGCTTTCGAACTTCATCTGCTGGATTAACCGCACCTTGGTTTGCTTCATTGCTGTGATCTCACTGTTCAGGTTCACAATCTTCTTGTCTGAGTTCTCTTTCATCTTGATTATTTGCGCTTGCTCACTGATCTTTTGCCGCAAGGATATGATAAGATGCTCCAGCTCTTGAAGTCTTTTGCGTCTCTGTCGATTGAAGTAATAAAACAAATTAGTTCAATCTACTTTAAAAACTATACATCAGAATTGGATAAACGATTCATAATATTTTGTTTTCAAGGATTAGATCTTTGGTGATGAAATTTTGTATGCATGTTAATATGAGCATTCTCAATGACGTAGAAGTATTGATTATTTTGATAGTGAAACTAACACAATTTATTCTCTATTGCCATAATAACCCTTATAATTATGGCTACATCAATGGTAACAAATAAGTCTATGGCCATATCTAAACCTGTATCTGTGGCTACATGAAAGCCTTCTTCCTTGGCGTCTGCTAGATTGCGGAAAGAAATGGATATGTTGTATGTGTGGGGAATTTGTGATTTGACTGTTGATTCTTAAGTAAAAGTTGGCGAGAGACACGACGGTGCCACTGGTTTTCTCTAAAATCAACTCCCAAACTCAAAAAAAGCTCTCAAGTTGAGGCCAAAATGGAGGGGATGTCCCACGCTATCTTGAGAGTTCACCTCTACATCAAGACAAACCCTCCATGCGAAGATAGGGAGCAAATACATTAGCAGGGTTGCCGTATTTTCAGTTTTGGAGTCCCCAAATAAAGTGGCAGCCCTGTCAATGTATTTGCTCCCTATCTTTGCATGGAGAGTTCGTCTTGATGTAGACGTGCACTCTCAGGATAGCGTGGGATATCCCCTCCATTTTGGCCTCAACTTGAGAGC